CCCTATAACACTGTTGATAATTCCGTTTTATATGAATTCCATGTTGTACGAGTCACTTAGATTTTACAAATACGTATGCCGGGCTGTGAACGGCTCACGTATTTGTAAAATCTAAGTGACTCGTACAACATGGAATTCATATAAAACGGAATTATTAACAGTGTTATAGGGGGGTCGACTTGTATACGGGATCTGGCTATCCTTGTAGTTTAAAGTCCTTGGAGAGAGAGTTTAAAAAATCATATACCGGTATTAAATAAAATATGTCCTTTATTATTTATGTTACAGATTTATCGCGCAATTATTTATAATTTACAGAATAAATTACTATTTAAAGAATTTTTATCGTTTCTGATCTTCTGCAATCAACATATTTACGGATTTCTAATACTGTAAATTATTTTTCTTTTTATAAATATTTATTAGGTGGCGCTGGTGCACTCCCGTTGCGCGGAACAACGTGGGTGCTTATCGTTTCTAAACAGCGTATATATAAACATCAAGAACCGCTATGAGGATCTTTTGGAAAATAGTAAAACAGGCAATGGACTCGGGTACCTCTGCCGATAAACGTAGTCTTTCTACGATAACAAAGCTAACTTACGAGGTATTTATAATTTTATTTAATAAATAAACACTTTAAGAAGTAATAGCAATAATTTAAAATTATAACCGGAATATTCAGGATGCCGTGTACGCTCTAAACGGACTTCAGAGTAACGCAGCAGTTTTGGAAAAGGCGCGAAAAGAGAGAAGTGTCAACGCCTATAAAAATCTCAAAAACACAGAAAAGTTTCTTAAAAAACTTTACGTAACGGTGAGTAAAAATTGATCAAGTTTTTTAAATAATTACCAAAAACTTAGTTTAATTTTTATTTTTCTATCTCTGTTATACATAACAGGAAAAGTATGGCGATCGGTAAAAAAATGACCATCCCCAAGAGTTTTACATTTTTGGACTCGAGACCTTGAAACGTCGAGAAATGCAAAAAAATTCGAGTTTATTTTTTTTATGTATGGATGTGTGTGTGGGGGGAGGCACGATTTTGTTCACACACTTCAAAGCTTAATAACTCCCGTGTCTTTTGTCGAAAATTTCTGAAATTTTGCATGAAGGTTTGAGTGTTAGAGGGATTCTTAATGAACTTCATCTCTACCATCCATATTAAGCTTTGCCAATTTTTAATAATTAATAATATAAAAACATGTTTTAAAACAAAATCTCATAACATATGGCGCTGCAACAATTTTTAATTCTTGCCGGAAAAGTTAAACAATTCGTTGCTGGATTTTTTTAAGTATGACATTAAAAACGTGAGTTACAACAGTAAAAGAGTATTTCTGAAAAAATAATGCTATCAAAATTGAAGTGGAAGTAAACTACTTAATTCATATCCATTAAGAAAAACTATTTCCAAAGCGTATCCGTAAAAAGTATTAAGACCAAAATAAATAACATAATATATGAGTTACGATTTCTACGACTTTTTTAAGAATAAAAAACATATTAAGTAATAATGTTTCGTCTGAAAAACAATTGTATTAATGGTAAGTTGTATGAATTCATAAAATTTTATAATCATCGATATTAGAAATTATTCTGAATGCAGTATATATTTCTTGCTTTTTCAATAATCTAGTTTTATTTAATTTGCTATATTTACTATAATTCCAACAGTCCATTGTTTTCTCAGCTGTCTGTACATCGACAGCTGAGAAATGGCTTCCATCGTGTCAAAAGTTAAAAAATTCGAAATTACGATACAAAAATATTATTTTTTAAAGTTTGATGGAGATTTTTATATTTGTTTTTTTTTAATATTAATTTAAATTTTTCGCTTATTCCTTTCTGCCGAGAGTAGACGTAGTGTTGCTTCTTTTTAAAAGTTAGGAATTATTCAAATATTCTTTTATTATCCTTCGTAATGGCTATTGTCAGGGCCGTCGAGAAGGGAGAGGAACTGGAGACTTTCCGACCTGTAGTGGTTCCTATGCTTATAAAATTAAATAATGTTATTTTTACTAACAGAAAATGAAGTCTTTAAGATGGCTTTTTATTAATAAATAAACAGTCTATGCCTTTCATTTGTTCAAAAAATAATGGCAAAAGGAGTCCGCTAAGAGGCAAAGTCTCCCGTGACCTGGAGGTACGATGTCTCTTCTGTGCCTAACAGGTACAGGGATTGCTTTTTCCTTCTGGCTCCGCTTCAGTTCTGTCGCTATACGGCAAAGTCGCGCGATGTTCTAGTGATACAAGTATTAATTTATTTTTATGCATATTCAGAATAATATAAAATAGTATGATTATTGCATACCATACAATTTTTTGTGCCATTTTGAGGCAGACATCTCCAACCTGATTCGTGACTTTCTGCTTTTATATGCCACGAATTTTAACAAACTTGCGTGACTGTATACATTATTAGGCTGCAATTTGAAAAAAAATCAATTCAAAAATTTTTTCCTGAAAGGTGTTAGATGACCGACACAACTCTATCGTTAAAGGAAAAGTATGATTTACAGGGCTAATTTGAGGTGGAGAGCATATATTTTAAATTAAAAATATGATTAAAAATTGCAGCCCGGCATTGTGACGATGTCAATAAATAATTGCTCGTTTAACATATCAGTATTTCGCTTAAAAGTTTTCTTTAAATTAATATTCATAAAAACTGGTGCCTTGTTTACGTTTATTTGTGCATTCTTATTAATTAGTTGATAACTTATTTCTAACGATTTACATTAATAAATTGGCGACAAGCTAATTTATTTATCACATTTAGTGATAAATTTATTTATCATTTATTTATCACATTTAGTTAGTAAGCCATTCTATAATGGACAATGCAAAAAACAAAGCCGACATTAAAAAATTGTTAAAAATTTAAGAAATAAGTACAGTGAAACCCCGTTTATCCGGCTCAAACGGGACAGGGTCCAATCCGGAAAATTCGTTAACGACATAAATAACAGTTTAGATTTACTGTACAGTACAGTACTTGCACATTATATATACTTTTACAACAATATTAACAGTATTGAGCAAAAGACATCTACATACAGTATCAGTTCGTTGTTTTCTATCAGCGGGTACAGTACGCGCACATAAGTTTTCTGACTATTTGTGTAAGGTAGAATTTCTCTTTATTGTCTTTTTCAAGATCAATCTGTAATATGGCTCAGTTCTTCGTAGGGAAACCAAAGGACTAATTTGAACCGAAGCAATTGTGAAATACTATATTGTATTTATTTTTGTTACCAGATCCTCGTTTATAAAGTCGCAGTTGTTCAAAATTGGCATTGGGCCAAGGGAAAACAGTATTACAGTTGCAACATTATACTCAGGCAAGAATGTAGGCTAGTACTTACAAGTTAGTACTTTGATTTTTTCGCGTATATAGGTTTTTCGTATGTCTATCTTTCTTATTCCTGATAAACCGGAAATCCGGATAATCGGAGTTCCACTGAATTACTAAATGTTTTATTAGAATCGTAATCAAAATTTGAGGCTAATTTTATCTTAATTTTTAAGGGTGATCGATACTTCTGTTGGTAGAAAGCTTTTAGTGAAAATAATTAATGACAAAAACATATGAAAATTTGATTATATGGGCGTAAATAATTTCCAAGAATTAAGGTAAAAGAGTTAATTCAATTAATCCGTATTAATATTAGTATGATTGTTTTTTACTTATATTTGTTTTAATATAAACCAAATTAGATAACTTTATATGAATAATTAAATCATTTTATATTTTTATTATGCTGTATTTTTTAAAGAAATTTCATTACGCATTATTTCGTGTAAAAGAAATTTAAACCTTAGAATCCATGTTATTGTTATTTCATTTTAATGTATCGAAAAATTCATAATTATTTTTAAGAGATAAAAAAATATATATGTAATAAAATTCACTATCTAAAACGAAGAAATTGAAAGGCCATTTAATATATTTAATTTGCGAACAATAATTCATTTCTATTAAATGTTAGGCATTTAAACATTAAAAAGGATTAATAAATTTTTGTAAGATTTAATTGGAAAATTTAGCAGAATAAACGAAACAAAACATAAAATTTCTAAAGTCATCAATTGTTTAAGATAAACATTTTACGTTTTATACGTTTGAAATAAACGTTTTAGTAAAATATTCCTTTCTTCCCTAATAGTTTAGGAATGAAACTTTCCACGAGCTATATTGATCAGCGCTTGTCTACTCCTAGCGATAGTATGTCTGGAAATTGTTATACTTCGTTATAATTTTTTTTATACGTGCAGGAGGTTTGAAATTTATACATACAAATTGAATGGATTATACCATTTTATTTGTACTATATCTGAGATGGGAAGGCCACATCCTAATTCAGAGGGAAACTTCTAACAAGTAAGACTGTTGCAGAATTGTACTGGTACATATGCACCGATAATAAATACTGTACAAATTGTACTTATACAGATGTCTTTATTGAAAAAGAGAACGGAAAACATTTAATTTTACTGTTATAAACCTTATCGTTTTATATTTCACCAGGTCGCAGAGTTTCATCCCCGTGCTAAATAAAACATAATATAGTTTCAGTAAATCGCAAATTTGAAAATTTTTATCGTCATACAGTATATAGTTCAGTAAACTTCAATATGAGCATAGTTCTTTCCATTAACTCATTTTCATCCAAATGATATTTACGTGTTTATAGAATCGCTAAAGCAGTTTTATAGGAAGTTATGCGAAAATTGTACGATTATCTTGTAAAATATAGAATATAACATGTAGATCTGATTAGATTTCTTCAGATCACTACTTTCGATAACTTTGTTTTATATCTTACAAATAAAATTTTCAAGGGCACATTGAAAGCATTTCTTTTTAGATATCGAAATCAACATTGTTCAAATAGCCTACGTCAATTTGGTAGTCACAGTGAATTTTCCAGTATTTAAAAATTACTATAATAGTAATTCTTATAACGTAATGATATATGAATTATGTTTGTAATATGTATGTTTGTTTTAAAGAGCACGTGTTACTTACTGTACATGTAATACCGGAATCTGAAAAAAGAAAACTGCAATGAACTGTACGTTATCAAATTAATAACTCAAGTAAAACTAAAACTACATAAAAGTTGAGGTAAATATATTTCAATTTATTGGTATTAAAATATAAATGTAATTAAATTTATGGATTATTTGATTATTTTTCGCTTTATGCGAAAGAAGTTTAAATAATAGAGAATATATGTACATCTACACCTGTAAAAATTAATTAATTCGAATATTGTCATATTTTTTTTTTATTTTAAAACGAATATGATAGTATTCGAAACGTTTAAAAAATTTTGTATTTTACGAATAATACTGGTCTATATTAGGGATGGCGAACCTTTTTGAATCCTTTGAATTAAGGAGGCCTGTGCTATATAGAAAGCACAGGCCTCCTTATCTTTAAAAATGTTTATGCATGAGGTACTTTGACTTCGAAAAACAATATTCATGAAAATGAAACGAATATACTTTAATTAGACTAAATGTAAAGAAGCTGAATGAAAAAAGAATGATAGGATGATTTGTCCCTATGTGCCAGTTTTGGTACGTGTATCATAGGTTCGCCCCCGACCTGTATAAATAAAGTTTAAAAGTTAAATTAGCCTAATTTATATATATTAAATTTTTCAGATGTANAAGTTCAAAAAATAAAACTTTGGAAATTACTTATACAAATCTGTTTCCTGTTTGTTTTTATTTTATAATTGAGAAAAGCATTTGGATTGAATTCACAATTGGGAAACTTTCATAAGAATTTAAATTTCAATATAATTCTAAATTTATACATGTATTTTGTAGTACAAATACAATCATACAATATATGCAGGTTAAATAGAAAAAAGTCCCATTTATCTTATAGAGGATGTCCACAATTTATTCATCTGATTAAAAAGAAACTCAATACAGTAGAGAAAAACTATAACAGATATCTGAAAATAGTTAACTACACATTGTTAATTCAAAAACTTTTTTCAAAACCTTTGAGATCATGATGGCTTATTAGTAAACTTCCATATGTGTTTCCTTTGTTGCACTTGGAATAAGAAGTCTTTACTCCATTTGTATCCAGATATTTATTAATACCTCTGGACAATTCTATCTATAATTTTTCCATGCTAATTGTCTTCTTTTGTATATACTTTGTGCTTTATGAGCTTCTCAGAAAGAAATCAAGATGGAAATCAGAGAAACTTGATGACCATGCAATTGGTCTATCTTGACCAATCCAACAGATCCATCAAGAATTTCAGGAATTTCTACTCAAGGAGATACTATGCCAAGTGGGAGTTACAACTTTTTGAGTTAAAAAATCAATTTATAGTTAACTGTTTTTAGGTATTTCTTATACTTTTTTCTCTATTGAGTTTCTTAATCAGGTGAATAAATTACAGACACCCTGTGGAATAAATATTCCTTACATAAATATGCTATTATGTTTCATATTTTAAACAAGGAACTTAATATTGGATTAGTATTCTCATTGTGGATAGGAAGTAAAATGACACTTTTGGATAGTGCATAAAGAACTTTTTAATTGTATGGACATTTTTAAGAATTGCAGAGCAGCCTAAAAATCAGTTGTTAGTTTCAAGTATTATATCTCTAACTGCATATTAATTAATAAACTCCACCATACCTTTAAAATGCGATTTAAACGTTCGATAACTGTTTAAAATAGACTGCATTTTAAAGGTATGGTGGAGTTTATTAGTTTCAAGTGCTCCCATTTTAACTTTATGTTTTAAAAAAGTCTAATTGTTGAAATAAACAATAAAAATGTTAAAAATCTGTTCATTTACATTAATATATGAACTAGTACATGTGTAATAAATACAAATTTTTAGAAAATATAAGAGAATTTTCTGCATTTATATTTACATTTAAATAATGTTATTTCTAAATTCTGTATTCAGAATAGTTTTTAATGTCAAATTAGTTAATTCTCATTAATTTGTTAAGTAATTCTTATAATAACTATTAGGTAAATTTAGTCAAACCCTATTAATACAGTCAAAGAGACTTTATTAAAACCTTAAACCTTAATTGGCACTTAGTATTAACTGAATTCATTAATATTAAAATGCCTATCCTCCCTTGTCTGAGGGTCCACAAATCTAATTTGCATTAATACAGACTTTGCATAAACCAATAACATAATAATAGGATTTGACTGTATTCAGGTACTTGAGCTTTAGTGTCCTGAATTGTACATTCAGGACACTAATTCTCATTAAAAACATGAATGTAGACTATCCATATGGCATCTTCACTTGTCTTTTTTATACACCAGGAATTAATCCAAAATACTCTGAAGTCTGACCTTTTATTTGAGGCTAAGACCTCAGCAAATTATGTAAAAGACAAAATATAAAATGTATGTATTTATTCATAATAATATCCAATCACCAATGGATATTTTGTCTTTTACATAATTTACTAAGGCATAGCTTCAGATAAAAGCTTGAATCTCAGCATGTTTTAGATTAGTTTCTAGTGTGAAAAAGATGCCATTTGGATAGTCTACATTTGTGTTTTTAATACAGTAGAGTCCCGCTAGTCTTAACACCATTAATCCAAACACATTTTGGTCAGCGGAGAAAAAGTTTTTTAGCTTGCAAAATATATGTTTTTTGTATTTTCCAGTTAATAGTACAAAAACATTTAAAATTCCACAAAAAATTGTATTTTATTGTAGTACTGTGTTAATACTGTACAAAATTAATAAATCAGTGTTTGACATGGCCTATTAAAATGGCAGATCTATACAGTACTTACACACAAAAACAGGAACAAAAGTCATTTTTCAGAAATAACAAAGCCTCTTAGTTTCTTTTGACGTAACGATGAAAGGTGGTTAGAAGATGCTATGTTTCAAACATGTCAACAAAAGTCAAACATGCAGTCTGCGGGTGAAGCGCTGGGATGATGTTCTTAAAGCAATACGTTACAATACGTGTTTTTGTTAACTGTTTACACCCTCTATTGAGTACAAGTCAGATGAAATAAAGAGTGGGGTGCTTATGTCATTGATGGTGTTGGATCTATATAAGCCAGACCTGTTTTACTGCTTGCTTCTGCATTTTTTCAATTATTCAGCTAATTCAAAAGTTGCTAATCCAAACAGGGCTCGGTCCCAATTAGTTTGGACTAGCGGGACACTACTGTATTAGGTAAATAATTTGGATAAATTAATGTATGTTTTGATTAGTATTTTCAGTAATTACCACTTTTATTTTATTCTTTGTTTATATTAAAATTTTGACAACAGCAAAAGTATTATTAAGGCTTAAAAACTGGAACATAGAGTAATTAATTTAATTTCCATTATCTCATTTTACTTTTTTAAAAATATTTTTATATCAATTTTGTCATTCTGTAGAGAAGTTTTTATAAAAATAGTTTTAATGTTACAATTATATTAAAATTATTATTACAATGAAATTTATGTATTTTTAACAGATATAATGAGCCAAGAGTTTGAAACCATAAATATTATGGAATTACAATAATTGAAAATGGTTGTGAAAGTTTTTAATTCAACATGTGTACAGATTATTCTTTGAGGTTTAGTAACAACTGTCTGATTGAACAAATATAATGTAAATTTATTTTATATATGGAAATTTTTCCAGAGAAATTTTCTTTTAACATAGTATTCTTTTATAGGATGTCAACAATTTTTATTGTCTGTGATGTTTTTAAATTTTTAGTTTCTTTTTGAAAAGAATGACTTTAAATAAAAGTCATTAAATAAATTCTAGAAAATAGTTTTAAAACAATCAACGAATACTTTATAAAATTACTTGAATAGATAAATTATGTAATTTTCAAAATTTGAAGCTTAAAGGTAAACTTTAATAAAAATGGAATCAAAAGGGTTGAAATAAATTTATAATTTTTTAATGAACAATAATAAAAAATAAATTAAAGAAAGTAATATTTTTTTCTTAAATGTTGGACCATTTTTTCATGCTGTTCAAAATTAAAGTTAGAATTCAAAATATAATTGATTTCATTGGTTTTTCAAATTAAAGTATACATAAGAATTAAGAATAGAAAAGAAAAGTTTCTAAAATTGAAATCTTTTGTTCTTTGAGATTAAAATATTACTTTAAAAACATTATAGATAATAAAACTATTTGATGTATAAAGTGAGTTTTATATTTTTAATATTTAGTTCAATAAATGGCAAAAAAAAATATTTTTTATGTCAAGATGATAAATTGTTTTTAATTAGAAACAAATAATCAAGGTTTGTTTTTCAATAAAATATAGTTAAAGATTAACTATATATTACGTTTTATTTTTTCCAGTGCTAAATTTTATTAATTAGAAAAAATAATCTGGAAAAATTTCAATTATGTTATTTTTTGCATAATATTTTTCAAATTATTTTATATAATTTGTTCATTAACAAAGTAAACTGGATTAAAATTACTGTAAAATATATAATGTTTAATGTAATATTCCTATAAAAATTGATAATCTAAAATTGAATGTTGAAATCTTCTGCAAGTATTTGAAATTATATCCGAATATAAAGATATTTGAATGAAGTGTCTCTTGTTATTCAAATGAAAAGTTCTAATTTCTGGTAAACTGTGATATGAAAGGGCATTATTATTTTGAATAATTGAAGAGAACATCATACAAATATTAAATTATATTCAGATTTATTCATTGACAAATATTTTGCTGAAGGTTGAAAAAAATATAAAATTTTATTTTCAACATTTCAATCTTAAATTATTAATTACTTATAATGGAATAATATTCTAAAATACAGAATTAGAACATCATAATATTGTTAAATATCATTTTTATAAGAAACTAATGAATAAGATTTTTTCATGTAAACAAGTTTTTAAAGAAATGTTTCGAATATATTTGATTCTACAATGATTATTATGTATATTTTAAATATTTGTTTGTTTAACAATTGTTTTAAAATTCAGATTTTCATAAATAATCAAAGTAATTGATATTAAAGATGATTTTGAATTATTATTTTAAATCAATAAAGAATTGGATAAAAATGGTCATGTAATTTCTACAAATGTCGAGAAAATAAGTTTAGCAAAGAAA